GCAAACAGCCTTGGCAAGCGGACGCTACGTGAATACCCTACAGTCGGCTCAACACGTGATCTCCGAGACACAACCTATTTGCAGGGTATACGTTTGGGTTGCCGTCGCTTTTCCTGCACAGAATACGCGCTTTGTGGATGGCCTGCACGTGGTGTCATGGACGCATATTCTGAACGTATTAACATTTCGCAATTGAGGCTGTGATGACAAACAAGTTTGATCAGATAAATATCTGAGTGCAAGGCACACAGGGGGTGCATGCCGGTATCTGAGAAGGTGTCGCAGTTTCCAGGTCGAGTATGGATGGATGGAAAAACTTTATTTCGTCAGAAAGCAACTGAGGATGATTCCGTGTTAGATGGCCATCAACCCAAGGTTAGCGGCGACCTGTGTGGCCCACTCCACGACCCTTAACTGGACGACTTGGTCTGAGCTGGTCAACACGGCCTCCCAGTGCTCAAGAGAGGGATCACGCATAATATCCACCGGCGGCGGCACTATGCTACATTCCCAAAGTATGTGATCATATGTTGCCACAGCCTGACACCATTTGCATTGCGGCTTAATCTCCTCCGGGTACATTTTGTTCAACACGTAAGGGTTGGGAAAAGATCGCGTTTGCAGTTTTCTCCAGACGCATTCCTGCGCCTTAGTCAACCGCTTGTGCGGGGGCGGATAAAACCTCCGCTCTAGTTTATAATGATTCGTTACGTCATGAAAGGACACCAGCCCATCCCTCGCGGACCTCCCCGGAACTGGCGGCTCACCAACCCGGCTGACGAAACCTCGAGCATTCAGGTGAGCCGCCTCGTTCCCAGGGTTCCCAGAGTGTGCTGGTACCCAGACAATTTCTATTTCTCTCATTTCTCGTCCCGTGGCCCTATGCAGAAATCGTGCAGCGGTCGCCGATATTCTGCCCCTCGCCAGATTTCGGATGGCTGTCTTTGAATCACTGAAGAGTAGCTTTGCGAATTGTTGAGTCAGCAAAGTTTGCGATAGCGTTTATCGTTGGGAAATGACCACAATTTTCTTCGGGAAGGTAATTACATAGCTTTTTCAGGTAACACTGTAAAAGTTGACTAGGGCGAATGCGTATTGAATGTCTCCAGAAGAAGGGGATTTGTTGGAGCACCCTGTTTCGGGGCGACGGAAGCAAGTGATAACGTGTGCGGTTCTTGTTTATCGGTTTGCGTTTCTTTCACCGGATGAAGGGTAGTGAGGAAGGTAAGGGGCGATAGGTGAGACTGAGAGCTCTGATGGCCGCCCCTGATCACTGACACAACAACCTAAAACAGCTTTCTCTTTTTCTCTCCGTTCTCCCCATTCGTATCGCGTCTGGGCTCCTGAAGAATCTGCGAGGGACGCAACGGTGCTTAGTGCAGAGGTCAAACCGTCGGCACGCTTATCTTGAAAGCCGTCTCGACAAGCTACGTGAAGAGATATGAGATGCCGACTGGTGACCCCTCACGAGAGGCTATAAATGGGTTCTCCGTCCGTCACACTTTCTCTCAATCTCTCCTTACTGTGCTCGACTTTGAGAAACACGTACTAATTAATGGGACACTACAGCGAAACAACCAAGCAGTTTAGATGGACTTGTACTCAACCGGCTTAGATAGATTTGTGCTCAACCGGTTTAGATGGATTTGTACTCGGAGAACTCGAATGCCGTTAACTGACCCAACATAGGCTTGTTATTAAAGAGGAAAATTGAGATCAGAGTTTCATTTTTCAGTTTTGTGCGGTAATCTACGCACGCGACGTCGCTAATTTCAAATCGTATTTTTCGTACTTAGGCGATATTGTCTCAAGTAAATTTCCTTAGACTTGGTATGTTAAGTCTGTGGCCTGTCATGGGACAATTTACTTCATTTTTACTGACTAAGAACTACGTAGGACCTAGAGTAAGCTCTAAAAATTTATGACGTTAAGGCATTTGATGTGAGAATTTCAAGGAAGCGTCATCAACCCCAATTTCTTTTTGCGCGTTTTGTCGCTTTCCAAACGTCTTCTCGTGGTAAGCGAGTGGTTTTGGAATTCGGAAAGGGCAGTTTACTGATGTAATAAAAGTCACGTTTGTCTGCATTGTCCCTTTAAGAAAGAAAGAAAGAAAAAGAACGAAGTGGTGTTATTGTCGTAAACCGTTATCACAGGTGCTTCCACTGTTTGGAAAGCGTTTCGCTTTGCTATGTACCTGCGACAACGAGGCTCTAGTCTACATCTCCACGTGGAAGCTCCGGTCAACTAAAGCGAGTTTTGACAGGGTTTGTTTTTGTTGATGGCGGAAACGGTTAACGTAAGCAGCTTGTTAACATAACGAGATAACCGAGATAACACCACGAATTCGAAACTGTATTTACTGCATCCATTCACTAGTCTGTTGCTGTCGTCATCATTATTATTACTGTTTTGTTTTTTTTTCTTCTAACTATTTTCCACTTTGAGGAACGTGTTCAACCCTCTCTGTTATATACTTTCTGCTTCGGATACTTTGATTATTTAAAATACCTCGAACATTTATCGGTGGATACTTGTAAGTTATTTTGTATAGAACTTGATATAAAGCCTTACTATTACTTTGTGACACTGATTGAGTATGCTTTCCTGCACGGTCATTTGAAGTCCCCTGTAGTAACAGGTCGGTTTTCTTCACCATTATCTGTTATTTTTATTGAAATAGAAAATAAACTAAGGAGTTGTTCTCATCGTTACTTGGCGACGGCTGCCCCTTTTCACTTGATTGTTAAAAATAAAGAGCAAAAAAAAGCTTATATACAGTCCGACATAGGTGAGAGCAAAAGTTCTCCTATGGGCAGAACAAACACGTAGTCGCCACGCTCACTTTTAACTATAGTCCGCTCAGTAGCGGTCACAAATATTCGTTTCTTCGAAAAGGCGTTGCAGCACCTTCATTGTTTTGCCATTTGTTTTAGATTACCATGGGCCTAGTGTTTTATCCAACGCAAACAGCCACTCGAGATCTATCATATGGAGTTCCTGTTCGAGTCGCCTTCGGTGTGTGTCGTGTTTGGGACAGTCGAGCAAGAAGTGATAGATATCCTCGTCGTCGTGGCCGCATGAATATGCTTATAAAGAGTATCTAGAATAATTATGTCTAACGCTATAATCGGCGTCTGTAGATCATCGCGTGAGGCACCCAGAACGACTATGTCATCTCGCAAACTAGTATGTCATAATCACGTACAGTGCCTGTCGATATATTGTGCTCCTCTGTGACAAGTCATGCTTCAGCTTTGTTAGGAGATTTGAGCAAGAGTTTTTTTTGTGGAATTTAGTATATGATAACTTTATTGCTCTGGTTGTAAATGTGTGGTTAAAAATCACAGAATATTTTGTTGTATTGATGTTTACAAAATAACGTTACTAAGCTGCCACTAAATAAATTTACTCTGGCGAATTCGTTGGTTACTTATAGCCGCGAACTATTCGTACCGATAAACTGTTTAAAAATAAACTAATCCTGCAATAACTGGAGACAAAAACTCTGTTATTTTTTATTTTGCTCTGGAGCATCACCTGTGAAAATTAAAATCTGGCTAGTCTTGGTAAATTTTCCGAAGCAAGAGTGGTCTCCAACGCGGGAAAATATTTTGACATCACAATAAAGTGCGCTACAAGCTTTTAGTACACTTGAATTATACGGCCGATTAGTCGCTGGTTACGTAACTTCCACGTCCTGTTAATATCACGTCAAGCTGACGTACAGCTTCAATTTATTCCCTCGTATTTGGGCTCCATTTGGCTGCACCGTAATGTCGTTAGAATTTGCTATATTTAGATGTTAATTGATACGAGAGACAGATGCTGTTAAAATGTGTGACGTCACCACCAGCTGGCGCTGGAACTAAAAAAAGAAGGTGTATATCCACACTTACTTCATTCCGGCTTTCTTTTTGACTTACAAAACATATTTTGAATCTAACAAAGAAAACTGAACGATACATGTATGACCAGGAGTCTAATTATGAATAAGTATCCAGCACGGATTTTTGGCGGGGGGGGGGGGGCATACGCGTAAAAGTAAGAACGAAATGAATAAAAATAAAGAGCGAGGGGGTGTTTATTGGCGCAAAGGGGCTTGCTGATGTAGGAGAGTGATGGCGTAAAACTGATAATTCAGTGTATTGTGCGCACGGAAGTGTATCGAATTCTTCATTAAGTTTTCCACTCGGGACTGGTCAAAGTGGCATGCAGTGAACTCAAGGCGCATGTCACTCACACACTTTTTTTAGGCAAGGAGAAACACCCTTCGGTGCCAACCAGATCGTGTTAACAACAGAATGACCTCGTTGAAATGGTCTGCTGCAGTTTAAATGAGGTTATAGTAGAGTGTGAAAGGGCGTAGTAACAGGTGCGGAAAATTAAGTGCACTCTTTTTTCACAAATATGGGCGTAATTTTTTGCACTGTGTGTTACCGTTGGTTTTCACTATACGGTAGCCGTGGCATAGCCAGGGGGTCGCATACCAGGCCCGTACACCCCCCTCCCCATTTTTTTTTTTGCCATGGCATACATAGCGCGAAAAGACTGTTTGGCTGCCCGCCTCTCTTGAGAACAAAGTGTGTTTAGAGAAAGGGGGTAACAATTTAGAGCACTAGGTACTCTACTATGGGAGAACATAAAGCCGTCCCGTGTGCGTTACCTTTTACTGAGGAGCCCTAGCTCACCCCCCCCCCCCTTCCCCCCTCCGCCCGAGAAAAACATTTCTCCCTGCACCCCGGCATGGTAAGACACGTTTGAGGGAAGCTATTGCCGGTCAGATCTGCCTTTATAACACAGCCTGTTGCAACATCACCACCACAACAAATGAGCTAGTGTTTCTCTTAAGAGACCATTTCAAAGTTCTTGTCAAAATGCGGACAGCTGCAAAGAGTTCGCACTTTTTAGTGCACATACAGTGTACGGCCAGGTTCGCGTTGTTGGACATTGTAAAACGTCGTCATATCTTGTTTTATCTACGTTTGCTCTTCTCTCTCCAGGCACGATGTTTGCGCTTCGCCTGTTTGGGCCTTCCATGGGTTTCTTCTTGGCTTCTTATTGCCTGTCCCACTACGAGATACCTTACGGTATGTATGTGTACACCTATACCTCTTTTAAGTGTCGCCCTTGCGGTAGGAAATGTGAGAAGATTACTTTTAGTGAAGCAACACTTCACAGACGTCTAATTCGAAATTTCGCCAATTGGATAGCTTCTTTGTCGTGAAAAGTTCTTTATAAACGGGCTCCTTCAAAGACTTGCATACATGGTCGAAAAAAAAAAAAGCCCAGTTATTAGCTAATAGAGTAAATGATCGTGAATGCCTTCTGGGGGTATTTTTCGGCTTCTCGAAAACTGCCCCAATGCTTTCTTTGCAAATACTTTTCTAGATCCGGAGCTGTCATTCCTTCACTGTATGCTCAGAACATGTCAAATGATTTAATGTTAATGGGATTAATATATGGACATGACCCATCGATACGAAGCAAATTTATGCATGCTACGCCGCCTTTATAGCAGCAGTTATGCTCGTGTGCACAGTGTTCTGTGCAGTTCATTCGCGATCTTGACCATGTAGCCACTAGTTGCTGCCTCCATGCGAAAAGTCTGCGGAACACCCCTGCACAAATGATTTGTCTTGAGCAGTGCATAGTCTTCGTGTTGTTCAGCCCTCTGACCTTGGTGCCACAGGTCAGTGCCGCAGCTCATACATGCCGCAAGTCAGCAAAGCGACGCATGCACCGCTACTTCTTTTCGAATTCTTCGGGATCAGTTATCGAATAAAGGCAAGTAATGGACATGTCCAAGTGTTCCACTACCTATTTCGTTTCATACCTTAATGCCTTTTCCAAAGCATGGGGCAGCAAACCACGTGGTGCTCTAAGATCTTACGGTTTTTCATTCTACCCCCTCCCACCCTCCCTCCCACCTCCTGACGGACTCATGTCAGGCCAGTCGCTTTCTTCTCCAAGGTTTCCATTCACGGAAGTCAATGTCTCCAAGCTTCGAAACCTGAGCGGCTATACGGATCAAAGTACATTGAGGGGCCGGGTCAAAAAGTAGATAAGATGTCATAACGAGAAGTGCTGGGAAGTTGGCGTGCTCTTGATTCGATGAATGGTGGGACATGCTCGTAAATACGTCCAACCTCTTCGCCAGTGGACCCGGGGATAATGAAGAAGGATCCTCGCTGGATCGGTGCTTGGTGGCTGGGCTACGCCTTCATCGGTGTGCTGGTCATCGTCTTCTCGATGCCCATGCTGCTTTTTCCCAGGAAGTTGTGGAAGAGCAGGATGGCCGGCGTCGACCACAGGGTCAGCCTAGCCTCCGGCACGGCGACCGTTGACGCTGTAGGTACGACCCTTTCGTGTGCACATCCTCTCACGCTTGCCACATTTCACGTACCTAATAATTACCGGTCGCGTACACTAAGATACTCGAATACTCGAATGACATATATAATGAAGTCACAAGACAATGATACATGAGTAGGAGGCCATCTCTTTCTCCAGACATCAAACTTAACAGGGCACGAGCTGTGACAGTCAGACAATTAAAACACATTCATATTGCTCACGTGCGCAATACAAGCAGTGACATAACATTTAAGACAAGCATACTATAGGTAGAGTATGCTAGGTAGAAGATTGTGCATTATAACATGTGCTGTGGCAGTCATGACGGGGATTTGGAGACATCTGCACGTAGCTCCACCTTTCGTCGGCCGAACGGCAATCTACCGTAACTGAATGGCAAATAATCGAAAGAAATCATAGCTGATGAAAAAAAGCCAGTTATAAAAAACGACTCCCGGTACTATACAGCAGAGGCTTGTGAGGACGTTCTGGGTAAGTTAGTGTCACACTACGAGCCGCGTGGCTTCTCAGAGGGTTTAATATTTAGCAATGGAATGTCATGTATTTCGACGGCAATGTTAAATTGTACTGGGAAGTCACACGCTTTGTAGTTCGATACTGCAATTTTACTCAGCTGTTCCAGCAGGTTTCTTCTTTATGGATCCGGGAGTGGTCAATCACAACTGGCTAATTTGAAGAGATGTGATTTTTCTCACCTATTTCCCATTCAGTTATGGTACGCTGGCTCTCCTGTCGCCGAGAGACGGCGCCACGTTCGGTTGTCCCCAATTACTGGGAATGGCGTGTCGCTTGACCCTGGCGTTACTATCGACAGATTCTCAAGGATGATCAAGTCACAAGACCACAAGCAGCAACTCCTGGCTATCTAGTGCGTCCATGATAGGGTCAAGAGGCTTGGTGTCCTGGTTTCAGCGTGGGCGTATAGTTAGGCGGGATCTCCAGCCCTGAAAAAGACATAAAGAAAGCTTATTCATCCTCCTATTGATCGAAATCTCTGGACTCATAGTTTCTGGGACCTATGAGTCCTAATTATAATGTATCTATGCTCATAGATATCCCTGCGGTTATGGTTCCAGGACCTATGGAATTATAGAACCATAGGTGTGGTTCCCTTCCTTCACAATCTTCATTGTTCGCAGCCTTGAAATGCTCGAGAAATTCTGATTGGTTGCATTGACGTCACTCACCTCAATGTTTTTATCTTTTTTGTTCGTCAGAGCTTAAAGAAGTTGTGAAGAGACTTCTGTGCAGCCCGTTGTTCGTCTGTCACGCTGCGGCTCTCGTGTTCACCGTGAACGGGCTCATGGGATTCTTGCTTGCCACGCCCAAGTACATGGAGACGCAGTACAGGCGCTCGGCAGCTACGGCCAGTCTTTTCTCAGGCAGGTGACCGTAGATAACCTTGATGCTGATGCAGGAAGATGTTGTGTTTCCGTGTTTCTAACGCATCACGCGTGGAGTGTGAGTGTAACCGCTGTAACAAGGTTATGATATAATATTTACAAGGCTAGCAAACGAGGCTAGTTGGAGGCCATCATTGCTCGACAGTACCACTTTATGACGAGAAGCGAAAGATTTCATCAAGGCCAACGCCCTGTCTGCTTTTTTTTTTTACTTGGTCCTGCCAAAAGCGCCGCGATTGATGATGGGTGGGCGTGTATTAAGGAGGCCTGCCATTGCACACAACATCTTCACACCTCATACAAAGTTTGAAGGTAACAAGCGAGGTGATCATTGGCCATTTTGTACCATCACATGGTACATGGTGCAAAAGTCGGAGGTCTGGCACAGGCAGTCACTCGTGTCATCTACATCATGTTGTAGTTAACGATCATAATGGGGAGCGTTTTAAAGGGTCGTAGTTCTTCGAAATGGATGTTTGATACTTACCTGTATGGAGTGGGAGTAGGAACCCCGTATTCTTGCTACCTTGCCGTACCCCTGCCCTTTTTTTACGATTATACAGCGTACATGGCGTACTCTTAAATGAAGATAATATAAGAGGGGTTCTTGATATCATATGAGATGACGTTATTGTTGTCGTAATCACACAATAGTCGGTATATGCAGTTTTATGCTGCTGTACCTGGATGTACTGTGCTTTTCTTAAACTACTCAAATAAATGGCACCAATTTTCTGTCTTTCTTTGAACGGAAGGTGTCAGCAGTCCGTTGCTCCGTCAACGTCTTTCTTTGCAATAATGGGACATATGCTACTACTCAGGCCTCAGGAGCGAGAAAGGGGGGGGGGGGGGTGCAAAGGCCCGGGCCTCCCCAGAAATTTAGATGAATGGTGGTGTTTTACCAAAAATAAATAAAAAATAAAGTTTTTTTCAAGGCCGTCAACAAGTGCCCCTCCTTCCTCCCTCGTGAAAAAATTTTCTGGCTACGGGCCTGCTACTAATACTAATATTACTACTCTTACTGCTGCTACTACTACGACCACTGCTACTATTACTATTGCTACTGCAAGCATAAATAACATTAGTAGTAGTAGTAGTAGTAGTAGTAGTAGTAGTAGTAGTAGTAGTAGTAGTAGTAGTAGTAGTAGTAAATGTAACTTTCTGCTGCAGGTTCGGCCTCCCTTGTAACCATGCTGCTGGCAGTTTTGTTCAGCGGCGCAGTGGCGCGGAGGCTTAAGCCAGGCGCCGGCATAGTGTCAGTCTACATCTTGGTGGTCGACGTGCTACTGCTCGCCTGCTTCGCCTCCTCTCTGCTTCTTGGTTGCCAGCAGCTGAACATGGCCGGAACGCCACTGCCCAATGGCGAGTGCGTGGCTCAATCACGTGACGTGCGAGCTAGTTAAGGTTGAGCAGTTTTGCAATATTCTTAAGTATGTACCTTTATCGAGTAGCCGCGCAGCCGATAACACCAGATTAAGCTGTAATAAAACAACGAAGACGTTATGCTAAGTTTTAGGTTATGTCGTTACAGTTACAGAGAAGTTATATATCCTATACATGCGAACCTTTAATCAAAAGCGCTGCCTTAGGTTGGTTTTTCTGAAACATGATAAAAAAATTGCGGTCCATTGTATATGTCGACAAAACAATGCGTTAATTGGGCGGGTTGGTTTCTAGCTTCCAAATATACAGCGTTGGACGAGCGCATTGTAGAAATTAGAGTGGGCACCCTGCGCTTTGTCCCATAGTACGGCTGTTGAAACACAGCGTGTTACAGACGTCACGTATGGATGAGAAAATATCGGCCAAGTATATGTATACATGTCGCCGTACGCAGCCAAGGACGCTCAATGACACCATTTCTGGTGATGAAAGACCCCCGGCATTGCTATGTGCTTTATCGGCAGCCATTATCATGGTGTGCTTTAGCTTTATACTTTCTCGTCCGCTATCGCAGTAGTCTGCGGAGGCGGGGGGGAGGGGGTAATGATAAGACTTACGGGCAGCATTTATTGGGATAACTTCAGGGGAAGTAAGCCACGGAATTATTCCACGAATGTTCCAATCGTACCGGTCGACTCTAGAAATTAGAAATCGTGCTTATGGCTTCCATTATTAAAAATGACGATGAGGGACCTGTATAGGTTGTGGTCGACACACTGGACGCACTATACCGGTTGTTCGATTGGTCCCTATACCAGTGAACAGAATGGGTCACTTGTACGACTAAATTCGTTGTGAAATAACGCTGATTAACCTTAGAGATTTGAGACCATAGATTACTTTCAATTTGCACAATTAATTTTAATTAATCAAACCTGCTCATTGGCTGTCTTCACGTCTTGCATTTGCGGAGGATATGTGCGCTCCTGAATAAGCGTGTGACCGCTTGAATTTTTCTGACGTGTGCCTAAAACTGCACCACAAGGGCATTTTAGCATTACGTCGTAGTGTGACGGCTGCGGCAGGGACACGAACCGGGGACTTTGAATGTTGAAAACGAAAAAAAATAGCCACCGCAAAAAAAAATTGTTTGATGTGATGAATTTTTGTGCGACAGTGCAGAAACATAACGTAAATAAACCGTTGTTGGAGCCCACTCACCCGAAAAGTATTACTCACTGGGGAAGAAAAACAAAACAAAACAGCACTACCGGAATCTGGTGCTTTTATCATTCTGATTTTACGACGGCTAATGTGCACCTTGAGAGCGCTGCAGAATGTCGGGTGAGAAGAATGTCGAACGCTGCACGGTTGTCGTGGAAACGCAGACTGAACCTAGTCAACGAGTGCAACTCCCGGTGTTCCTGTAGCACAGATTTGTTCGAGCCCGTGTGTGGACCGGACGAGGAGACCAACTACTTCTCGCCTTGCTTCGCCGGATGCCACAATTTCAACGGATCGGACAGCAAACAAGTAAGCATGCTCTACACCAACAACAACCTATAGACAAGCGAAGGCCTGCGCGCTCTTTCCGTGACGTCACAATGATTACCCGACTTGGAGTGGTATTAGAACACTCTAGCCATGCTGATAACGTTCCTGATATGTGCGGTTTAACGTCCCAAAACCATGATTATGAGAGACGCCGTAGTGGAGGGCTCCGAAAATTTCGACCACCTGGGGTTCTTTAACGCGCACCCAAATCTGAGCACGCGGGCCTACAACATTTCCGCCTCCATTGGAAATGCAGCCACCGCAGCCGGAATTCGATATCCCGCGACCTGCATGCGGGTCAGCAGCCGAGTACCTTAGCCGCTATAGACCACCGCGGCGGGGCGATAATGTCCCTGTAGCGTGTTGTACTACAGCGTCCACTGACCGAGTGCGTCTACTGCTGTCGCATGCAGCACGAACGCGCAAACTACGCCGCCACCGGCGATATCGCCCTTCTCCGTCGGGCAAGGTCAGTGACGTCACGGAGGGAGCACGCAGGGCTTGTCTTGTTTAGGTGGTCTTCTACAGACACCAGCCAGAAAGTATCCAACTACCCTGGTCTCTCTGAGTTTCGGAACGTGCTTGCATAGTAGGTTGAAAAATTGAATTATAGCCTTTAAACGTGCCAAACCGGAACACGAGCTGTCAGAAGCGTGCGTCGTATATTTAGAAGGTGTGAACGATCTATTTGTTCTGTTCTACCGCCCGTAGTTCTCTTACACACATCCCAAAACGAGTTCATACATGAATGTTTTATTATGTATTTTGCCAACGATGTGACGCAATAAATCGATCCGGCAATCGAACCCAGCTGCGACTATGTGTTCAGCTATACTGCACTATTAGATGTGCCTTTATTGGCTTTGTAGCTTGGCTTAACCACATCCACTGTATAATCATATGGTGGTTTTGGGACGTTAAACCCCGTAAATAAATCAATCAACCGATCGTAGTTTTCACTTCATTGTGGGTTACATGTTACCTAACAAGGATGCCAAATATTGTGTACCGTTCTGGTGTTCATAGTTGTGTCATCAAGTCGTGTAGCACAAATGCTAAGACTTTTCTTTTTTTATCTCGGTTTATTTTCTTAGCATCATTATAAGCAAAACCACGACTGAGCGTGATTTTGTTAGGCTTTAAAATACAGCGATATTTCCGTTCGGTCATATACTTCGGCCGTGTTGGCGCACTTAATCGTTAGTGGCAGACGCACCCAGGATTGCCGTTTTGGCGAGATGTAATTGCGTCTACGCAACAGGACTATGTCCTTAACACGACCCGGATGACATTGAAGCCGGCGCGAGATGAGGTCAGTATATACGCGCGAAACTCAGCTGGTCTTCTTAGACGACTCGAAAACCAAAACCACATTTCTCTGAGCAAGACTTGTGTTCGGGCAAGTTGACTCATACTTGACGGGTCATGATGTGGCCATGGATGATGTGGTGTTCACGGTGAGTCCTTGTAACTTTTGTTATCAGGTTGATGCACCCTGAATGTAATCCCCATTGCGGGCTGCTGCTACAAATTTTCATGTTTCTTTTTTTTCCCAAAACCCCAGTTGAAATGCTGATAGTTATAGCGCGAGAACAGAACGACGACACAGAGACAAGAAGGACGCGAAGGACACCTTCGTGTCTTTCTGTCGTCGTTCTCTTCTCGTTCTGTAGCTATCGTCATGTCATACCTACTAGCCCAAGCTGCCACACTCCCAGTTGAAAGTTGAGCGCCTATCCGTGTGCATTTTGTTTGTCTCCGTTTTTTTTAGCGTTTGCTTCTTTCGCGCCTTTTTATTTCCAGCCAATTGTATCGACCCTCCCCCCCCCCCCCCCCCCCTTCTCCAGCACCTTCTTCGCTGCTGAGTTTTGTATAAACAACGGGACTTTATGACGAGCTGTGATAGTGGCGACGAACGTTGTTGTCCCCGTGCGCGCATCAATTGCTTTTTTCCGTCCTGCTCTCTTTAATATTTCATTTTTTATCCGCCTGTCCTCTTCCATATAACCAGTATATACTATTTTCCGCAAGACACGGATGCGCCGCCATTATGGGCTGGTAAGCCGATGTTTTCGTGTTTCTGTGTACCGCGACGTGAATCAATAGGACCATGAAGCATCGTGTGCGCCAAGCCAACGTTTTCCATGCGCTTGCGCCTACCATACCACTGTTCATTTAGTTGCTAAACATACAAGACACAAAGGTTAACTGCCCACAATGGCGGCACTCAAAACTGTCCATAAAATAGTCTAGGGTAGCAGGCCAGCTGCAACTAGGTGCGACCCGGTTTTAACTCCTTCGAAACCCTTCACCTGCTTTTCTCACTTTTTGTTCATTCACTGATGTAACCCGGACACTACTCACGTTGCAGCTGCTGGACTGCCAGTGTCTGGTTGGACCAGAAAGCACCACCTACACGCACAATGCGAGCGCGGGATTCTGCTTCAATGAGTGCACCATGTTCGTGCCTTTCGTGGCAGTGCTTGGCTTGGCGAGGATGGTCTTCGCTACCTCCAAGGCGGGCAGCGTTCTCATCGGCATCAGGTTGTCACTGCTGCCCAGGCCTACATTCCTCGCTTTATGCGTAAATTCAGCGCAACCTCCGCAAAGGCGTGGGAAGTCAAATGGCAAAGCATGTGATGCAGTGTGTGCTAACCCCAAAACAATCGCTTCGTCCGTGCGGTTTAGTCCGTGTTCTTGGCTGTAAGCATTTCCTTCCGCTCCAAGAAGCATGACACATGCACCACGATTCGTGTATTTTCGCTAAATAAGTTAGTATTGCTCTACTTATGTGGACCATTTTCGGTTTCGGTTTCGCGGCGCCGAGTTGGGAAGTGACGTCGATGCATAGGTGTAGCTTGGTCACGTGAGCACAAGGGGCTGTGACGTACATAGTGCTGAGTTTCGTCTGCTCTCACACACACGTGCCACACAAGTGCCAGCAAAACACTTAGTGCCTTCGCAGGTTTAGATGCGTAGCGTTTAGCCAAGAAGTGATCGAAACTCGGCGAGTAATACAGCAACCGATGATTTGCTGGTACGTTGGGTACACCCGTTTCGGAGATGGCAGAGGTCGCTCACGTCACTACAGATCTGGTGTGACGTCACGACAACCGCCGTTGCTTCTCCTATTCTGAAACCGCAGTGTTGCTGCGCAAGCGATGGGCCTAGATTGCAAGAGTAAGCATTCAGGTACACATTTAAAAGTTAATTGAAATATATTCTACGCGTCTGTTGTGTCCGACCCTTCCTGTGGAGAGTCCTTGCATTCAGAGGAAACCCACAACAGGCTTGGGATAGCCTCGAAATTTGGTGACACCACCCCTTTGAATAGAAAAAGAAATTGTTCTCGTATTAGTAAATCACTTTTTCACAATACCAAAATCACGAAATTTGTCGCGAGGAGACGCTTGGTTTGAAATAAAACGTACAAAAACAAGATGCGGTTAAAGACGTCACCTTGAAACTCGCAAGCCAATCACCGTGACGTCAAAAATTTTGATGGCGTGTACTAATTCCTAAACATAGTTTATAATCAGCAATGATGAAGTATATTTACCTCAAAGGGGGCACGAGACGGAACATACGAAGTTATAGGAAATTTGATTCCGTAAGCAAAAATTACGAAAAAAAAAAACTCGACGCCCTGCATGCGCGGAGATTTCGTCGTGATATTTAAAAGTAAAACTGTGAGCATGATTTACTCTTTTATTGTTGAAAAACTGATGACAAATTGAACGTCATAATAGTTCTCAACGTAAAATTTGTGAATCTAAACCAGTTCATTATTTCACTTCAGTGTTAAGTGCAAATAACTATATGTTATTCCAACCAACCCCAACGCAAGCCGTATACTTCAAAAGCAAATGCTGTAATTACCTTGAAGTCCATCGAGTATAACTGTGTTTTAAAACTGAGACTGAAGGAGTGTAAGGCGTATCTTTTTTTGAGAAATGCTCCATTCAGCAAGTAATAATGAGCGAAATGCGATGCCCAACAATCGTTGCTTACAGGTGCCTCAAGTGTAGTCGCTGGGGCCTCTCAAACTCGCCACTGCTGCATTTGTACAAAGCGTAGTTGGATGTGTTTACTTATCGCTATTATGCTATACTTCGATAAGTATGCCTGACGGAATATCTTCCCATACGTTCGTATATGAACTTATAAAGAAATCCCTCAAGCAAGAGCAAATCGTAACAGGTTTTAAACTTAGGCCTGTAATCAGGCGTACGACTTTACTATGCCGAAAATATTTCTGCCAAGTTCCCCAATGCACTTAATGGTTCGTGGTGATGCCTGAGTGTTAAAACACGTGTTATTATCACGTCTTCACGTGTAATCGTTCTTATCGTGGGAACTCGTGTTCTTATCAGCTTATCAACATTTTTCAGTTCACCCTATAGATATGCATGTCCCTGTCTGTATAGGTTTCCGACGTCTACCGTTGAAACTGAATCCAAAGACACTGGGAGAAACTTTCGGTCTAGAATGTATCTGCGGTGATGTGCTATAGCTCGCAGGCGACCTCGGTAACAGCTTATGCATTCATATATTTAAGGATCACTTGCAACTTTGTTCGATTATTTATTGCGCGAGCTAATAGTGTAGGGGTGTGAAGGTGAGCGCTGTTTTATTACAGAAACTAAGATGCTTGTCTCTTTGAACTCTTTTTTTATCTTTTCCAGGCCTAGCTGCCTGCACCCGAGAGAAGAGAAAATCGCCATTGCGGTTCTGCTCACACTGGGCTTAATTTTTGGTGCGTTTCTTGATTCCCATTGTGCCTATTCACTCACTGATACAGCACTACGGAAATAAATAAATAAATTGATAAATAAACAAATAAAAAATAAGTAAATAAGTAAATAAATATAAATGTTGATGTACAGTGCACTGTGCAGACGTGGCCTCACGGATTTATAGTGCGTAGCGCCTTGTAGCCATTTTGCTTTGATGTTATTAATGATAGCCGAGGCCTCATAAAGCACAAAAAAGCCACTGTAGAAGAATCACGGGACTTATCAAACAGTAACTGGTGGTAGAAATTACTGCGGGGCCTCCCCTATGGCGTGTCTCGTTACCGTATCGCGTGCATAGCGAAAGCGTTATAGAGCGTCAGACACGAGTGGTACCGAAATTCAGACGACGTCATAGATACGTGAAACGGCGCCAAGAGCAAAATACTTAATTCGGTACGTGATGTGATTAGAAGAAAAAGAGTGCGTGAGATGAATCTAATGTGAATTAAGGAACATTAGAGCGAACGAAATTCGAAATAGAGCGAATCATATGGGATTGAAGAGTGAGAAATCGGAAGGCTTTAATGAGCGTCTCTTAATAGCATAAGCTTCCGCGTGTGTTTTCCATAATGTTAAGTAAGTGAGGGGACGGTCAAATTATTTTACTTTTTTTATTAACGCAAAAAAGAGAGGGAGAAATCCTTGTCCAATAAGGTTAAAATCGTCGCATGCGTGTTTTGTGTTCGCACAGGTTTCATCCCGTACCCGGTCATCTACGGTGCCATCATGGACACGTCGTGTCTCGTCTGGGAAGTGAACTGCGGCGCGCGCGGCAACTGCTGGCTCTACGATGCGGCCACCTTCCGCTACCTGTTGCACGGCGTCTCCATGGGCTTCATCGCGCTCGGCGCGCTCTTCAGCCTCGCCGTGTACGTGTTCGGTCGCCACTCGTGCCAGCTGCGGGTCGACCAGGACAGCGCAGACGAGGACGAGGACGTGGTCTTCATGCGTCACATCGGACACCCCGGCATAACGCACTCCACGTGACTCTGCGTTCGTAGTGCCCGCGCATGCGCGTTGTTTCCGCAACTTGACCCTCCTGGAGGAGCTCGTCTTGCTTCGTATCTCGAACCACAAAGCTGGCTTTGCACGCCCACGGGTTACGGCTGGACTGCACGTGACGTCATTGGCATGTTTACAAGAGGAGGGGGGGGGGGCAGAGAAGGTTTCCGCCCCACTTGTCATCCAAGAGGGCGGGGGGGGGGGGGGGGGTGAAGTCAGCTCCTTACTGACCTAATAGGAAGGAGACGCTGCGACGAACTTTCGTCTAAGGTCCCTAGATAAAACAAGCTTCATCTAGGGACCTTACTTTCGTCCCCACCCCCGAACATATATGTGCAAGCTTCTGCATGACGTCACGGAAGCAGTTTCTTAACATGCTATGCAGTGCTGAAACGTGACGTCTGGTACGCTGTTTTATCAGCATGGAGGAAAGTAAAAAAAAAAATACTAGGAATGAGCGTCACGTGGTACCAATAGCCTCGACAAGCTATATGCTTCTCTGACGCCATCCCTCACGCTGTGTGGGGCCCTGTGCCCGGTGTCTTTCGGGATTAAGTGGGCCACCGGAGCGGCCCCAACAGGCGAGAGACGACCAATAGGAGAGCTCTTTCTCCGTTAAAATTTTAATGACTGAACTTCGAGACTGTCACGTGACGCACCATCCTTGTCTTTTTCCTTCCTCCATGGTCATCACGCGTGCATCGCGTCGCTGTTGGTGATTCCAGTTTTTGAGCTGGAGCCCTTCACTACGGCGTCTTATATGGTGGTTTTGGAACATTAAACCCCACATATAAATCAATAATCAAGTTTTGAGCTGGTTTATTGTTACGATTTGTGTCTCTCTGTTATGGTTTTTCTCTCACGCAGCTTCTCGACGTGATAGGACCTTAATATGGCAGCCACTATGGGTGCCACTACCTACAAAGATAGCGCGAGTGACGTCACGAACACAATTAGCACGAGTCACGTGATGAATGCGTTTACAAAGTTCTTGTACACCGCATGATGAGGTAATACGTTAGTTTCGGCGTAGACTGCAGCTTCTTGATGATCAAACGTTCTTCTTTTTTTTTTTTTCGAGTGGGGCCTTTAGTGACTGCAGTGTGGCAGGCGAAAAAAGTACATGTCAAAGAAGTGCCTATATTGCCTCTACAAGCGACATAATAATACATTTGATATTGGTTGCCGCATTATTCGACTGTATACGGCCGAGCTGTCATAAAGTAATGACATGCTAGAAAACTAGCAGTTTTTGCATGCTGCTGCAGTAAAAAAGATTCCCGAGTTTCCTAGCCAGTTGTCGAGCATGCAAAAAGATAATACCTATTCAAAAGCGTGACAGTTCAGTGACGACAATTCGTAAACCATGCGCAAGCCATTCGGGTGCACCTTACAGACATGTGCCTTCCCATTTCTGTAGAAATCTGAAGGCGCCGTTGAAAAGGCGTCTCAGCATTTTTTTTTTTTTGTCTGGTACTGTCTCATCGCAAGAACGGACCATTCATTCGCCTTGTTTACGTGGCTCCCCAAAGAAGTGACAGAACGAACTATATATAGCTGTCGTTTTTATGAAAGAGAACTGGCGAGCGCGCGGCAAACAGCCTCGTATTGCGCATGCGTCGTAGCGCAGTGGGGAAGTGTGAAAATAAACGGAGGGAGCGTTGTCATTCCGCCTATTGCCTGCGTGCACCTGTTCTCGCAGTTCTTAATTTTCTTTTATCACTTTATGTTGTTGTGGCACGCGAGCGGACAAGTTTCTTTTCTTTTCTAACCAACGTGGTGATCATGTCATTGCACTGTCGTTCGAAATGAACGATGAAAAATGGGATGATGGCTGAACTTGCGCCGATGAGTCATCCGTGAGAAGGTTGAGAGCGCTCCCATTATATTACTTGCGATTGTACCAACGCACGTTAGACAGAAAAAGCAATTCAAATCTATGGGAAAACTTGTAATGCTTTTTACTTATTTCGTGTATGCTTCCGAATCCGTGAGAGCAACAATCTTCATCGAATGCAATCAACGTTCACTGAAAAGCTCCAACATGAGATAGATATAAGGAAGAAAGCGCAGAATAAAGAAAAATTTGTGACAAAGTGTAGACAGTGGAAGGAGCGACACCACTCTCTTCTATCATTTTTTATACTTCGCCACTCCCATGCGCCACATATCCGGTACAAGCCTATGTTTTTCTCGCTCACGTGTTCCTTTTCACAAACATGTAACATTTGTCCATGATAACGTTCATGAGATTGATTGATACGTGCCGTTTAACGTCCCTAAACAAACATATGATTATGAGAGATGACCGTAGTGGAGGGCTTTGGAAATTACGACCACCTGGGGTTCTTTAACGTGCGCCCAAATCTCAGCACACGGGTCTACAACAGTTCCGCCTCCATCGGAAATGCAGCCGCCGCAGCCGGGATTCGATTCCACGACCTGCGAGTCAGCACTTAGGTATGGGAGTAAAATGTGAATGAAGGTATTTATCCTGCGGCTCTGGGTATAAACTTTATCATGAGTAACACGCCTGAACAAACGAAGTGATATGCTATTCGCACAAGTCATTTCTCGCCTTGCCTCGCTGCGATGACTAGAAAGATTCACGGTTACCTTGGTCGAGACTGCCGTGTGTATGGTTTCTTAAGCCAGCTGGTGCGACAACAAGCCTTGTTATTTTATACTATAAGGTAACGGGAACCAACCTGCTTAAACATTCAGAGTGATTTCTAATGACTTCATCTTGTCAGTACTTGTGACATCGACGTTCTTACGGCCAAAAGCACTGTGGACCACATTCAAAAAACAGAGTATCACTTAATCGATGTCTTAACGTACACACACATTGTTCAACACGTGGTCACTCCAACCTTCACGGACTCCATAATGTCGAAGATCCGCGAGCTTTTAGTAACAGTTTGTGCACCGAAAGCACGCTAAGCATCCCAAATGTGCACGGCTGTAGCAGGAATGCGCTGAAAGACAAAACTACATCGCAGTTTTGTTCTCGCACGTGATTTCCAAGCCGCTGTACGACGTCACATTGTTCCTGGACTCCTTATTCGGGACCTTGTTAGTCGTCGAGTCCACGGCATCGCATTGTTCGTCTTGCGACGCCGGGTTGGCGCCGTCTTCGAGCACGATGGAACCAAGCAGAGGTTCGTCGTTGTCGGTGACCACACCTTCTTCGGCGTCCGGGACGGCGCCGTTCTGGGCGTACTTCCATTCGGCGGTCTTCTTGTAGTACACGTCCGACTTGGCGTCCGCCGTGGCGGACCAGGCGCACGGGTAATGCCTCTGCGAGATCCAGTAGTAGCTGCAGATGGCGGCCAACAGGAGGCCCAGGAACACGGTGCCTCCGACGATGCTCAGGACGAGCGCGAGGTACTGCATCGGTGCCCGTGGTGCCGAGGCGACGCGCACTGGCAACGACAGGGCGGCCTTTCGAAAAGTGCAGTTGATTACGACGTGGTGTCAAGTTTAATGATTCCTTGGTCTGCTGCTGCTCAACCAACCCCACGATAGATGAATTAAGGAACGCAAGCAAATCTTATACTGTATTTCGGCGCTTGTAGTCGCACAGCAATACGCATTCGTTACGCACGAACTTGCAGTGACGATGAGAACCGGAATCCAAAGTGGCAGTCACAAAATCGGTGCATTAACAGCACGCTTCACCTTTTGGTGATCGTGATTTGTTGTTCTGGCCTTCAGTGATGTTTCTTCAGGTCCACATTAACGCACGCCTAGGCGGTCAATTCAACAAACCAAAGGTGATAAATCGCGCACGTTCGCGCCCAGTTTTATACGGACTGCTCTTTATCTCAAGGTACTTTGAAACGCAACTTTCACATCACCACAAACACACTACAGACACAGCAGGCTTCTCGAATCACAGCGAAAAGACTTAGGGCTGACTCGGCTGAGGCAAACACACATTTGCGGATGACTTTCTCCCGGATACGTCATTAGACGGACGACCTGTATAGTTGGGTCCACAGTAGACAGCGAGTGCTCGTAAACAGTGTCACTACTCACGATTTCATCGTTGACAGCAACAGTCAGTCGCAAGCTAACACCACAGCCGATGCGCGGAACTTTCACTTCCGTTCGACGATGACTTGCGATATAGTTAAAGGCTCTGGCGGACGTCTTTACTGCTCGGACTTGTCTCGCGTCGTCCGCTGCGAGTGAAAAGCAACTTTCTCGCGGCAAGCAATGTAGTTCCGTGGCTGTCTACGGTAGTGACGCTACGCTGCTCGTCCGGAACTCGAGCTGAAGCTGTGCACCTTTCGCCGTAGTCCCACCGCTGTGGCTCCTTCCGCACTTGACGAGGGAGGCATGGTGTGAAACGGCTTCCTCACCGGAAAACGGCGTTCCGTGCGTGCTCGCCTCTCACCCGCCGCGTCGCCGCTGTTGTTCCGTCACCGGCACCCTGCAACGTGAGTAAGAAAAAAAGCATAAGGGGAAGTCCGAGCGGAACTCTTTGGTGTGCACCCGGTGAGGTATATACGGAGGCGAGTTAAGATTTGCCCGCTTGTAATGCGCGGCTGCACCGAGCTGGCGGCGGAGCGTTGAAAACGGAGCGGACGCCACGAAATCAAAAATAGAAAAAATATGAGTGGAAGAGGAAAAAGGACGACGCCTGGCCCGTGCCACGCGTGCGTAGAGGACAGCCGCCAGCCTTGCCCGGGCTGGCGCGCTTGTAGGGCAACTAGCCGGTGCGGTAATTTTCGCAAAGGAACCGGTATGTGTCGGTAAGGTCACTGATGCATGCACAGACTCGCGGGAGAGATGCGAAAAAAGGCTTGCCCAGAGAGATAGCTATGAGGAAATCGTTACGTCTTCACGCTCGGAAAGGTTTTCGAAGAGACATCTTTTCTCTTCAGAGGTGCTGGACATGCTTTAGTTTTTGTGTTGCGTCCCGATGATCTTGTATGCCGGCGTAAGAAATAGGAAAGACTAAAGAAGCGCCTATACCTCGGGTCTCGCTCGCTTCGTTATGTCATGTGATGCAATTACTGGACGTATCTTTGTGTTTCATGCAAGCGAACCTTAACGCGTTGAGAAGATGTGCGGTATTTTTTTCGTTCTCGTGATTTCTGCCATGTATGCCCTTAAGCCAATTTACATCTCATCGACGCGTTTGCCCTAACCTCCCCATTTTCACTGGTAACCTAAAGCGTCATCTTATGACTCGGTGCTACGAAGGGAACAATTGTCACTGCGATCATATTATGCAACATTTACGCATCTATTCTGCAGGTTTAACATGCTCAAAAGTACACCGAACAGGTGGTTCAAAAATCGTGCCCTTATCGATGAACTGCTGCTATTGTCAAGCACTTCGTAGATATGGTCATGATTTAAAAGATATGACAAGCCTGTGGCGACAAAATGCGCGCCCCTAATGACATTTATTGTGACAATCGGGGCGAAGCATTATAGTGAGGTATTGAGAAAGTACTGATACTTGCACTTCGAGATCAAAAGCACAAGGTCTATCAACAAGACTTATCTTTGAGCTTTTATGTTGCCTCGTTTCGGTAACAACGCTTTCTGGTTGTTTAATTAAGGCATCGTACGTGTTTAAGACTAATTGAAGCATGCTTAGTTGGTCTCAGTACATTAAAAGAAAATGCTGCCTTATTGTCCCCAGCTATACTTTGCTGATTTGATAAGGGGTCGTGACAATCGGATATTAAAGTCACGCAAGTAATACTTCCGGCCTCTTTCAGGGTTGGTCTTTAGTTGAAAATTACGTAGATTCAGATTAGGCTAAACGTTCCTTGCACATGTTATCTCTCAGTTGTTCGCAAGGTTTGCAGCATGCGAAGTGCAACGAAAAGCGAACCGTTGCTAATACAAGAAGTAAAAGAAGCGCTAGCCCCAACACGAAACAGTGTACTCGCAAGTACCAGTGCTCCTATTCATGGACACTTACGTTTGAGCGAATACAGTGGTTATAAAGGCGAAAGACTTCCATACTTCATCAAACGGGAATGGGACCGTCAGCATCATTAAAAATAACGCGAAAAATAATCTCGCAATGACGTCATCTATGACGACATCGCTACGTCACAGGTCGCCTAAATTTGTAAATCATCAAGGCGCCACATAACGTAACGTCATCACATGCCATAGTCACTCGGTCAAAGATAGTCTGATTCCGGAGGCACCGCAAATCCACGTACAGGTGCACGGAGCTTTCGTGGGTGGGATAGTAGTAATAGTAATAGTAGTAGTAGTAGTAGTAGTAGTAGTAGTAGTAGTAGTAGTAGTAGTAGTGAAAATTGTTGGCTTTGCATCACAAACCACATAACTGCGAGAGACGCCGTAGTGAAGGGCACCAGAAATTCTGGTGTTGTTTAACGAGTACCTTTCCTCTAGCATATCGCTTCTAACGAAGTGCGGCCGGGATTCGATCCCGCGACCTTCGGGTCGGATGTCGAGCACCGTGCACTTGGCGGGTTACCTTCTTCGGGTGCGGGATAAGTACAATCCATTGAGAAGAAGACGAAGAAAGAAGAAAAAAAGGAGCAGGAGGATGTTGCTTTCGAGTCGTCTTTGGCAAGTACTATAGGCAAGTACATAACCTGTGACACTGTACTCGCCGGAACTAAGTAATTGACCGTATGATGACGTATTGTCGTTGGAAGTAGAGACCAGTGATCGCTTCTTCGGACGCTGTCAATGCACCTGTCGTGTCTGTAATAGGCAGCCGGGAATCCGAGGTAGACGTCAACAGCCTTGGCTTCTCCTCTAGTGCGCATTCTCTATAGCCAGCGTCACGTGTGATAGGACAAGACGACCTTCGGCGCCAAGGCTGTTTTTTTCGCTCAACACGTGTGAGCCCGACAGCCTGACCGACCAGCTGCTTTCTTCTTGCTTATTTCAATCCGAACACGGAGGTGGCGACGCAGAAGCAAAAGGAATGTGGGACAACCGAGATGTGGAAGTCATTTGGGTCCCCGCTGCCAGTTGTGAGCTGCAGGCGTCAACGAACTTCTGTCCGTAGGTGTACTCTGGCCTTCGCTCTTACACGTACATTGCGCTTGCGAAAGGCCAACGATATGAAAGATGGGAACTTGCTGGAGCTTCTATATGTGAGTGTATAGAGTGAAAAAAAGAGGCAGGTGCATTCTCTAGATATACGTGTATAGATTGAGAAAGGAGGCAGGTGCGTTACTTTTCCGAGGGAGTCTGTCTATCTCTATCTATCTATCTATCTATCTATCTATCTATCTATCCTATCTATCTATCTATCTATCTATCTATCTATCTATCTATCTATCTATCTATCTATCTATCTATCTATCTATCTATCTATCTATCTATCTATCTATCTATCTATCTATCTATCTATCTATCTATCTATCTATCTACCTTTTCCTGTCTTTTTCTTTCTTTTTTTATCTATCTATCTATCTATCTATCTATCTATCTATCCACCTTTTCCTGTCTTTTTCTTTCTTTTTTTTTCCTCGGCCGTGCTGGTCTAGTAGCTAAGGTACTCGGCTGCTGACCCGCAGGTCACATGATCGAATCCCGGCTGCGGCGGCTGCATTTACGATGGAGCTGAAATAGCTGTAGGCCCGTGTGCTCAGATTTGAGTGCACGTTCTTTACCCCAGGTGGTCGAAATTTCCGGAGCCCTCCACTACGGCGTCTCTCATAATCATATGGTGGTTTTGGGACGTTAAGCCTCACATATCAATCATATCAATCATCTTTCTTTTTTTAACTGTTTAAGAGTAAAAAGTAAGGTAATTGTAACCAAGAGGAGCCGCTTTCATAAATGTTGTATTAAGATGCAAGTCTTGCAAAGCTAAAGGAAGAGGCCTTGCGTTCAACATCGTACATGTCTGCTAACATCAGCATGGCTGATCAAGGAAGATATAAGGCACTCGTACTTTGCTAAGCTAACAGACATCTACATCACGTTCAAGGAAAAACGTTTAGGAGCTGTTCTACCAAGGACAAATGCCGAGTACTCTGTTAGGAAACGGAAATGAAGCATAATACTGGACTATGACGATGTCATAAATAGGCAAGACACAAAAATGCCCTCTGCCTTTTATGAACACCATGTTTTCAATTCTTTTTTTATGAGATATATATTGAAGACTTCGCCCATTTCATAGTCATTGGAAATATGTTCCCTACGCGACGTTGCTGAGAAATAAGCTACATCTGGAGGTGGTGCCGAAAGAATTTCCACTATTACTCTTAACTTCTTTGTGTGCTGGTGCCGTGCCAACATTGCAAGACTAGGCGCACTCCCAAGGCCTTAAAGAGTTGTACTGTCGAGCACCAGGCCTAAACTGTGCTTGAACCACTTTTACCTGTTGATTTCTGCCACAAACACGGTGGAGGCTCAACTAGATACATATACGAAGGCTGTGGTGGGTCTTTGTTTGCAGACGTAATTGAAAAACATTCACGCTTAAAAAGTTTCGGAAAGTTTAACAGCAGTTGTCCTGTCCTGTACGTGCGTTGAACCGTACGAAGTGGCGCGTTGTTTACACGTAATGTAAAGTGTCAGGCGTATGCCTTTATAATGTTCTATCGGATCATAAAGATAATGGTAGTGGTCTCTATGCGAATACGTAAATATTCAGACCAGATACTACCTTCAGGTTAACCTTCCTGCGTCCCTAATCTCTTTATCTTCTCTCTCTCTTTACACATAAAAAAAGCCGACTCATCGTTGACTTAGCTATGTAGTCTTTTAGTGATGCTCGTTCTAAAAAGGAAAATAAAATATGAAACAAATGATATCAGTGATAATTGATTCCTCTCCTTTTCAGGTTTGTTGAATAAAGAACCACTGTATAAAAGCTCTTGCTATTTTGCCGTCATTATTATCTGTCCATATTCTGCCGGTCTAGTCGACGCACATTGTTCAACGAAGTTCCCAAAGTTATCAGCACACACATCGCCAGTGCGTCTTCTTGTTATAGAATTTACCTCTCTCTTTGTGCTCAACTAAATTAATTCGAGATGGGGATGATAGTGGTGATGCTGATAATGTTTCAAGGAGGTGGCGTGGGGGAGGAGTTAGAAGGTTAGCCTGGGAGACCTGGTCGGCAATTAGTTCCTTCGAGCGCTAATTTCAACGTTATGTGTTTTACAATGAGCTAACTGTTCAAGTTTCTGGCGGAGCGGTCCAAACAATGCGAAGTCCTTAATTATGCACTATCCACGCTGCACCGTGTTAGACGACAAATCAGGCAGAGCGCGCATGAAGCGGGGACGAAAAGGACCTACAAACATGCGTGATGTCCTTCTTATGGTTCCTGTTTATTTCGTGCTGTAATTGCTTTGTAATGAATTAGCAACACGCTCAAGCTTCCATGCTAAATTCCGTCTCGGACGACTATATCTGTTCAACGAGCTCAACCCCACCAAATCCGCATTTCTATCCTTGTCGTCGTTCTGCTACTTCTTTTCGCCTGACGTATCCACTAAAGTGCCACAAGTAATACGCCCCCCCCCCCCCCGCCTACAGAAAAAAAAAGGGCTACTCCTTTGTCCCTGACCCTTTCTGCTCTCAGCTGA